AACTTTCGATATTCAGGTGCTTATCCTCCGTGGCTAAATCCTAACGTACTCTCCAATCCCTTCTACACGGTACCGGAAAGAAGAAGACGTCGTCCCCATCACCGCCGCCCCAAAGACAGATGGGACAGCTGGGAGAGCTGGGAGAGGGACGGCTGGGACTGGGCTTGGTAAAGCACTAGTTCCACTTCAAAGATCTGCATAACTTCTCTGGACGCAATAAAGCATGAAACTTTAAGTTTTTCCTCAACGAATCACTTTCACCTATAGTACGCTTCTGTATGGGCGTAATCAAAATAAGTGCAAAACGAAGCCCTCACAAACCTCTCTAGGCTGAAAATGAGCGATAGTTGACATTCATCCACAACGTTGTTTGTACCAAAGTATGCACGCTGTCATGTTTGACCTTACGACCACCGCTCGTATCTCGTCGGTGGCATAGTGATTTTCCCACTGATCCAATCGTTCCCATCCTCCGCTTAAATCCCAAAGAGCATTTGTGATAAGCACGTCTGATGAGCATTTGATGGTGAAGCAACGGTTCAACACCGATTCAGCATTCATTCATATACTCAATTAAATTCTGAGGTACAGTGTTAGTTATGTCCACGAGCCTCTTCCTCCTAAAGAGATTTTAAAGAGATCACGCGCTGTTATCCCAATTTTCCAGGTGTCGCCATGGCAGTAAAAACAACAGACCATGAAAGCGCACAAAAAGTGACGATGGCTCAAAACCACGACTACCGAAAAAATATAGTACTACACGACGCCTGCAGAAGGCAAGGCCGCTTTATATGTTATTGTACAGTTCGTGTTCAAAAAATTGAGTTTCCAAAAGCTTAGCAGTCAAAAAGTGGGGTGCACAGAATCACAGCTTTTGTCTCTCACTGCCGGCACAAATACAGGGGCGGCTGAGGGAGCCAATGGATAAGCGCTGCAGTACGTGAGTCGATGTACAGGGGGGGGGGGGCAAAAAAAGACATTTTGCCCATGTCGCACTTCGGCCTTTTTTCTTCGCAGAGATTGCCGTCGTTGACGGAAGTTCCTCAGCAAAGTATTCCCTAAATGTCCCTCTATAAGTAACGCAGGCCCTCCTTCACTGCCCTCACCGTCTTCAGAATATGACGTCATCTGTCACCGTCGTCAAGCTCAAGGAGGCCTACCGTAACTGCTTCAGCCTGAAGCTCTTACATAATTTCGTGAATCGATTCAATGTTGGATAGTTTCTAGAGCATTAGCTCCCACTATGCAAATCCCCTCGAAACTAGCTTTCCAGTAAAGGTCGTTATGGTACACGATCCTTCGAAGACCCCATTGAGCTCGACCAGTGCACCATGTTTCCAGGGCAAATTCGTTCCACGTAGGTGGCCACTAAGAAGATTATCTTGTAAAATGAAATGTGCTCTTGAGATGGAACTCCAGTTCGGGGGTCTCACTCCATTGTGCTCACCAATACTGAGATAAGGATAAGAGTTTTCATGACACGTAATCGATTCATTTAAAATTACTTCTGATAAGGACCGGTGTAGTGTGGAAGTACTCCTAAGGTGCTTTCAGATTTCGGCCTGCTGTGGTCCAAGGAAATGGTCCTGAACTAGGGTATGGACATCCTTTCCTAGGCGCAAGGGTGTAGGAGCCCAGGGTGGACGATCACATGCCATAAATTGCCTAGGATGTGAGCAGGATGTGCGTGATGTAGGGCATACACCGGTCCTTATCAAAAGTGCACTTGAAATGAGTCGTTTACCTATTATCTTATCCATAGGGTTGTAGTCCAAAGGAGTGCTCTCTAGTACTACGGATAAGATAAAAGTGAGTGGCCCCTACGAGCTGGAATTTGATCTTCAATACTAGGTTGGAACCATACGGCTTGAATTGAGCAAAGTGTGATTGAATTCATCTAATGTGGAGGCAAAATGTCTCCTCTGAAAAGTCCTCCGGAGGACTTTTTAGAGATGGCGATCTCCTAGCAGTTGAAGCCACTTTACTACCGTCCCAGCTTTGTTCATTCGAGAATACAAAGTACCAGAGACCATTACGACGTCCCTAAAACGCTGGTCAAAAGCGGCCTTGCACAGTCACAGCTAGTGTCTCTGAGAAGCTATTCACATTAATCCATTGAAGAAATTATGTAGCAGCTTCAGGTCGGAGCGAGCTCGACGGCGATGGCAGATGACGTCATATTCTGAAGACGGTGGGGCAGTGAAGGAGGGCCTGCTTCTGCTTATGGGGGACACCTAAGGAATATTCTGCCGTAAAACATTCATCAACAACGGCATCCTGTGCGACGAAAATTTGATGATGTGCGCCATGGGCAAAGTGACACTTTTTTGCCCCCCCCCCCCCAATTTGTTCAGCCCTAGGCCTGGTCCCTTTGGCAACACGGATCTAATGATGAGTGATCAAGAAACTAACCTTGGAAAGCCGCCAAAAGGGGAGCCGAATGGCTTTGAAGTGGGCGTGGTCGAATCGGCCAAGTGGACTGCACGGCCGATTCAACCACTTCGAAGCAGGGTCAACCGTCACGTTCGAACATTTTCGGGATTTTTGCGACCCCCTAGCTCTCGAGGGGGTCCAGTTGCGACCCCCTGTTTTTGTTAATAAGAGTGCTAGACATGAATCCGTTGCGCCAGAAAGCGTCTGCCGCCGCAGAAAGCGTCTGCGTTGCGGCGTCAGCCTTGGAGCGCGGCAGGTATCACCCGGGCGCTGGAAGAACGGGACGCGGCGAAGAAAAAATTTTAGAGGGGAATAACTTTCTTGGGACGTACTTTTTTGACTTGTTGAGGTAGATTTTGATTGTGCCTGAGGTGCGCTTTCAGAAAACTACAAGGATTGCCTAACTCTCCGGAAAGTACTTCTGTTAGAAGTGGAAAACCCAAAATTCTAAGAAGGCGCACCTTCAACTTTGAAGGCCCATAAAATCTTTCGTATGCGACATTTTGGAAATCTGTAAAAAGTTTCAGAAACTTCAAATATTTCTCTACAAAACAGTATAAAAAGTTTAGTGATTGACCCCTTTTTCAAAAAAATTGTCCCGTTCGAACATTTTTCGTGCAATGGCGAAATTTTGGGCTTTCAGCGACCGTAGCTCACTTCATTTT